AGCATCCTGTCTCACACAGCGGCCAACCAGTTCCTCTGGAGGGCCAACAGCAGGGTACAGAGGCTGTGCCACGGAAGCTCGCTGCGTGACCTGGGGCCGCTCAACAGTCTCTCAGCCCAGCCTACTTCACGGAGTTGTTGTGAGGATAAAGTGGAAGAGAAGAGAGGAGAACCGGGTTTGATTCCCCACTCCTCCACATGCAGCCAGCTTGCTGACCTTGGGTCAGTTGCAGTTCTCGAGAGAGCTCCCTCAGCCCCACCTACCTCACAGGGTGTCTGTTGTGGGGAGAGGAAAGGAAGGTGATTGTAAGCTGCTCTGAGACTCCCAAGTGAAGAGCACAGTATAAATCCTCCTCATCCTCTTCTTCTTCTTCTGTCAGTCACAAGTTCTCTCAGAGCTGTTCTCTCAGGAGCAGTTCTGGAGAGAGCTCTCTCAGCCCCACCGACCTCACAGGGTGTCTGTTGTGGGGAGAAGAAGGGAAGGAGATTGGAAGCCACCCAGAAGCCACCCCACCTCTTCTTCTTCTTCCTCCTTTGTGCTGTATCCAGAGGCTATCCCGCCCTAGATGCATGACCCCGCTGTTGTCTCCTCTCCAGGTGCTCTTGACGGACTGACTGCCATGCTCAGGCGTTCGCTTTTGCGCGCATAGCTTTCGAATATGGAAGAGGGAGGTGTCAACGAAGAAGTAATCGATTTGAATGATTTCCACCCAGGGAAAGGTAAGGCGTTCATGTCCTGCTCCCGCCGTGTTTGCCCGTGAACCGGGCTTCTGGTGTCCCCGCCTTTCTGTCACTTGTGGCATTTGAGGTAGACCTGTCAGCCAAAGTTTCTTCCTTCAAGGCTGGATAACTCCAGTGCTTTCCTTCTCTTGGGACATGTCGGCCCAGGCTCATTGTCACCGAGCCACTGCTCTGTTGCACCTTTTTGAGTCTGCGGGCACAGACACAAAATGGCCGCCCGAAGGATGGCGGAGCCAGCCATAAAAATGGCCGCCCCGGCTTACCTTCAGCCACACCGTGAAGTTCCTTGTGATGCAGGCGTCAGCGACGGCCAAAGTCATGTTTTTTGAAACCTGCAGAGCTAATCCGATTTCCAGCGGCTAATCGGAAGCCTTGGTGGGCAGAAGCTCCACCCGGCCCCACCCACTTTCTAGAAACACTTGCTGGGCACCATAAGGTGTTGGCGGGCGCCGTGACGCCCATGGGCACCATGTTTGGGACCCCTGCTCTCAAGCTTCTGGAGATGTAAAAATAGAAGACTGCGGACAATTATTAGCAACAGTAAGGAGTAGGCAAGGGGGCCCTTTTTCAGGGGGGCAGGATGGTTCTTGCCGCAAACAAGCTTAATGTGGCATAAGCTTCCATTAGGTATGGCCACGAATAACACCCACCAAGGGAAGATCAAGGTTCCCATTGAAATTATTGAGCTGCGCCTCTGTTGTTTTGGAAATCGGGTTCCCTTTAACCAGCCACTGTTGAAGAGGATTGAAACCTCTTGATTTATTCCTGGGAGAGACGTACTGCTGTTATTCTTTCCGCGGAGGGTTTCCTCTACTGCTATTTTTTCCTGTTTGGAGGTCTCCGGACACTACTGATATATAGAACTACAGAGGGGGCCTTGCTGTTGGATTTGAGTAAGTTATTTCTTTACTAAATAGCCTATAATGGATGTGAGCAATTTGTCGGATATACGTTTACACGTTTCATTGGGTTATGACCACAAACCCACCGTTGTACTTTAATGAATGTAATATATAGTTTGGATCATATATCGTTGTGGATTGTTGATGGTCTTCCCTTGGTGGGTGTTATTTGTGGCCATACTCGTACGCTAAGGGTTCCCTGTTGTCTTTGACATCGCCCGCTCCATAAGGTAGTCATGGTATGTATCTTCACCTGGCAGACAGACCCCACGCACAGCACCAGAGGGGGAAATTAGGAACCGTGGCGTCAAATGGCCATTGAAGGGACAGACTGTGAGAGGCGAACAGTCATTTCATGGCCCACCCTTTGCCTTTTGTGCCCTGTATCTCTTTGTTCAGCAGCCTTTTGAGCCTACCCTTCAGTAAAAAAAAAATTCCCCTCTACAACCATTTGTGTATGTCTGCCAACTTAGGCTACACTTCGTGCATCTGGCGAAGTGGCTTCTAGTCCACCTTTTCCCATCAGCAGCAGCCTTCTGCTGTCCTCTCAGTGCCCAGGGTACCAGAGCCGTCCCAGTGCTAAAGATCTGCAGCTGTTGGCGGGCGTTGCCCGGGCGAGCGTGCCCGCGGCACGGCCGCCTCGGGAGTCGGTGCCCTTGAGCTTTTCTTCTGCACCGCCCTGATCGCAATGCAAACTCGGGGAACGTCTTCTAGTCTGAGGCTGTCAGGACCTCAAAGAATAGATCTTTACCGAGCCCCTGGAAAGCCTTAGCTGGTAGATAAGCCCACCTGCCTTCCTGCAGACGGGATAAACCGCAGGGACGAGGGGCTGATCACCATCTCGGACTCCTCGGACGAAGACTTCCCCCTGATGCTGGACATCCCCGTTCAACGGCTGTGGGAGAAGAAGGAAGACGACGACGATGACGATGTGGTCATCTTGATGGAGGTAATGCTGTTCCCCCCCCCTCCTTCTTACCTATTGGGGGGGATGCCTTTGGCTTTGAATGGGCAGCCACTGCATAGTGCACATGAAAAGGGCAGTGCGGTATAGTGAGAGTGGAGTGGTCCGAATGAGACTGTTTCAGAGGGTAACTGTGTCGGTCATCAGTAGGAGAGTCAAAGGTACCTGACAAAGTCCCAGGAGGTCACCTGTGTTGGTCTGAAGCCGTAGAACAAATTTAGAGTCCAGGGGCACCTTTGAGACCGACAAAGGTATGTTCAAGGTGTGAGCTTTCGTGTGCAAAGGGCACACTTTCCAAAATACATTGGAATGGGAAGTAATAAGAGTCCAGGGGCACCTTCAAGACCGACGAAGGTTTGTTCAAGGTATGAGCTTTTGTGTGCAAAGGGCACACTTTCCAAAATACATTGGAATGGGAAGTAATAAGAGTCCAGGGGCACCTTCAAGACCGACGAAGGTTTGTTCAAGGTATGAGCTTTCGTGTGCAAAGGGCACACTTTCCCAAATACATTGGGATGGGAGGTAAGAAGAGCCAAGGGGCACCTTGAAGACCGACAAAGGTTTGTTCAAGGTATGAGCTTTTGTGTGCAAAGGGCACACTTTCCAAAATATATTGGAATGGGAGGTAAGAAGAGTCCAGGGGCACCTTCAAGACCGACAAAGGTTTGTTCAAGGTGTGAGCTTTCATGTGCAAAGGGCACACTTTTCCAAATACATTGGAATGGGAGGTAAGAAGAGTCCAGAGGCACCTTTAAGACCAGCAAAGGTTTATTCAAGGTATGAGCTTTCGTGTGCCAAGGGCACACTTCTTCAAATGCACTGGAAAGGAAGCTAGGAGTTCAAACTTATAGACAGAGGCTGAACAGCAGATTAAATATGTAACATGATGCAGATGCTTTAAGGTATTCAAAGGGAAACTAAATAACAAGCTAAGGTCATGAGGTCAACAGTTGTTTTGATTTAATTAAGGGGGGGGAAGGACTGCAAAGTAATAAATGTGTCAAAATAGGGGATAAATGTGAAAAGGCGTCTTTTCTAATTGTGGGAGGTAAACTGCTTGGAAACTACCCTGAAAATCTCGTTGATCTCTTAAGGGGCTACTGGATCCGAATCCAGATAATGCACTTCCAGTACGCCTTCAGTGCACTTTGCAACTGGATTTTGCCGTGTGAGAGGCAAAGTCCACTTGCAAACGGTCACTGGGGTGGATTGAAACGGCGTTATTTAGCATGTGTGGAAGCGCCATAAGACTGGCAAGAGCCTGATCCAAATCCACCCCTCGGCTGTGAACTCGCTGGGTTTTCTTGGGCCGGTTTACTCTCTTCTGAACCAACCTACCTCTCCAGGTTGTGGCGAGAAAAAAAGTGAGAACCAGGCCAGGATTTTTTATTTATTATTATTATTATCATCATCATCATCATCATCATCTATAATATATTTAATAATAATAATAATAATAATAATAAATCCTGGCCTGGTTCTCACTTTTTTTCTCGCCACAACCTGGAGAGGTAGGTTGGTTCAGAAGAGAGTAAACTGGCCTCCAAAACAGTCCAGTGGCACCTTTAAGACCAAGTTCTGTTCAGGTACAAGCTCTCCCTCCTCTGTGAGGGCAGATGTGCACATCCCCCCCCCCAATAGCTAGCAATCCAAAACAAGGTGGCCTAGCATATCATGTAGCTCCACAGCTACCGGCTCCCAGCGGTTTGACTTTGCCTTACTACAGCCAGCCTCTACCCCAGATATTAATGGTGGTTGTTGGTAGTAATGAGGGCAGCTCCTAGTTAAAAACCTGATGGAAGGCCCTGCGGATAAGAGGGATCTTTGGCTAATCTCACCCCACTGGTTATTGTGTTCCAAGCCGATCCCCACGGATAAGAGGGATCTTGTGCTAATCGCACCCCACTGGTTATTGTGTTCCAAGCCGATCCCCAAGTGGGAGTCTGCCGCTTAAAATGTGTCGCCCAAAAATAAGGGGTGCGGGGAAGGGACCTTTTTTTTTGGTTTACTGCAAACATCCGTCCGTCCCGCCCCCAAAGCGGAGCGTTGGATGTTTGCTTGGACCCAAGAGGCCCTCCCGAAGAGATGCTTCGTCCCGCTGACTCCTGTCCGTATCCTCTTTTAAGACGGCAGCCAAGCGCGTCCGGCGGCCCAACGTGATCAGGCCCACCGCTCACTGGCACGGCGGGAACAAGGCGGGGGAAGGAGGCTCCAGAGGCGACGGGGCCACCGGGCCTCACGACGGGCAGAAGGCGGCTGTTTCCCTCCGGCGACACCCCGCCCGCCGCAACTGCGTGAAGGCGAGCAGCGTGACGCTGGGCAAGCGCAAGAGCGAGGGCGAGGTCTTCGAGCTCCCAGAGTCCCCGGAACCCGCCACACCAAAGGAAGAGGACGGGGCCGTTCCGAAGCCAGGGCCCAGCGTGGCTCGGACGAGAGAGGCGAGACAGGCCCGCAAGGAGGAAGTCATTAATTTGGAGGATGTAGTCCTGGTGGCCGACCAGGAAGACAGGGACCGGAGGGATGGGGAGTCGCAGCCAAGGCGAGTGCCGGACCTTGGGGGGGCTGTCCGGTGCATCCAGGAGAACGCGCGGCTCGACCACCCGTACTTCCAGCCCGCGGAGAAGGAGGCCCGTGCCGTGGGCGATCGCCTCTCTCCCCGGCCGGCGCAGTTGGAAATCGATCTCGGGCCGCTACCCAGGGCATACCAGGAAGAGATCCCCGGGCCCGCCTTCCCGCGACCCGAACCGCAGCAGGACGGCATCCCCGGCCCCGCCTCGCCTCGTCTGGCACACCCGCCGGAGGAGAAGGGAGGGCACCCAGTGGCGATAAACGAGCAGGCGGGCCCGGCGTTTCCCGTGCAGGGGTTGCTCGAGTCCGGCGCCGGCGGTGTTTTCAAGCAGGCCGCTCCTTGGCTGGACAAAGACCTCACCGCTTTGCTCGTCAGGGAAACGGTGAGTGGCAATTCCCCCATTAATTGGGCAGGGGATGTTGGGAAAGGGTTCCGTGCTCACCAGCGGAGGTAGTAGGGGTGCCCGGAATCCCCGGCAACCAGCAGGGGTAGGGGGGAATTACCGGCAGCAGACTCGAGGCCCAGGCCTGCCCCTGGCAACGCAGCAGGGTCATCCCGGCCCCGGCGACCTGGGGACGCTCTCGTACTTGGGCAGAAACTCTATGCTACGAGCCATTTTTACCCTAGAGGGGTTTTTTTGTTCCGATACCAGAATGTACCCACATCGCCAGCAATGTGATGGCGTCCCCGCCGGTACGTGCAAGGTGCGACGCCAGCAGCAGAGGCTCAGGCCTCCGTTTGCTTGCTCGTAAGTCCTCCCCGCCCACCAGCTGATCGACACAAGGGGAGGGGCCCCAGAATAGAGGAATGCCCCCCCCAGTGGGAGTCTGGGAACCGTAGAGGGGTTGCGGTGTGGGACTAAGAGTTTAGAGCAGGGGTGGCCAAACTGGTTTAACGTAAGAGCCACATGGAATAAACATCAGACCTCTAAGAGCCGCCAGGCATATATAACACGAACCTTCTTTTTAACATTAAGCGAGACCGCCAAAAGTAAAAACAAAAGGGGTAAAAGCAGATGTTGGTAATGATATTCATTTGTCCAGTGATATTTACCTGTTTGCTAGTGATCTTTATTGGTCTAAGAGAGAGAGAAAGAGAGAGGTGGAAAGAAAGAATGAAAGAGGTGGAAAGAGAGAAAGAGAGAGGTGGAAAGAAAGAATGAAAGAGGTGGAAAGAGAGAAAGAGAGAGGTGGAAAGAAAGAATGAAAGAGGTGGAAAGAGAGAGAGAGAGGTGGACAAAGAACGAATGAAAGAGGTGGAAAGAGAGAAAGAGAGAGGTGGAAAGAAAGAATGAAAGAGGTGGAAAGAGAGAAAGAGAGAGGTACAAAGAACGCAGAGAGATGGGGAAGTGAGGGTGGGGGAAGGAAGGAAGGAAGGAAGGAAAAGAGAGAGAAAGGAAGGAAGGGAGAAGGGGGAAAGAGAGAGAAAGAGGAAGAAAGGTGGAAAGACCACTGGCTGGGGAAGGGAAGGCCGATCAGGAGGCACGCCCTCCCCTTTGCTTTCCCAGCTGCCCTGCTGGGAGCTGCACAATATGTGTGAAAGAGCCACCTGTGGCTCCCGAGCCACAGTTTATCCAGCCCTGGTTTAGGGTGTCCGACTAGTATCTGGGAGCCCTGGGTTCGAATCCCCGCTTGTGCCATGGAAGCTCTCTGGTGGCCTTGGGCCAGTCACGCCCCCTCAGCCTAACCGACCTTTGCTGTGGGGGTAAAACAGAGGAGAGGAGAATGATGTCAGTCGCTTTGGGTCCACGTTGGGGGGGAAGGCGGGACTCCAATGAATTAAATAAATTCTCTCCCCCCAGTCCTGACCAGTGTTCCCTCTAAGCTGAGTTGGTGTGAGCTAGCTCACAGTTTTTTAGCCTCCGGCTCACACATTTTTGTCTTAGCTCAGGAAGGAAGGCTCCAGAGCAGACTAATTTAATGCAGTATCCAAATCGCCTGCTCACAACTTTAAAGCCAGTAGCTCACAAAGTAGAATTTTTGCTCACAAGACTCCACAGCTTAGAGGGAACATCCTGGCCCGTCCTGCTCTGCCGTGAGCACTGCCGTCGGGAGCGCTGCTCCGTCTTGAGCGCCTCCTTTTTTATTTTCCCCCCTCATGCTCTTTTTTTGTGTGTGTCTGGAGGGTTGTTCTCACCCACTCTCCCGTTTTTTTGAACGCCCGTCAACCCAAAAGCCGTTGACGTGTTTGGGTGTGGTTTTCTCTCCCTCCCGTGCAGGAAGCGAGGTTTCCGGATATAACCAGAGAGTACATTGAGGAGCTGATACAGAGCAAAAACTACTGTGACTTGAACATGTAAGTGCGCCCCAGTAGCTTGAACGTGTGAGTGTGGAGGTTTGTGTGACACTTTTAGAATCCTGTTCAAAGTGCTCTTTTTTTTGGGGGGGGGGAAGCATGACGGATCTACGAGGTGGCCCGTCCGTGTCACCTGCATGCTTTCTTGGAATCAAGCTGGGATTCCACTTCTCTGCATTACTTCTGGGATAAGAGCTTTCCAGCAGGGGTGTCGAACTCATTCGTTACGAGGGCCGGATCCGACATGAACGTCACTTTGTCAGGCCGGGCCACGTGCGCCATAAAACATAATGCCGGGTACCGGAGATATAAATTTTATACCGGACACGGGCAAACCCAATGAACGATTATTTATTTATTTTTAACTCAAAATACCAGCACGCTCAAAACATTAACACTCTTAACAGTATTTCCTTACGGTATCTCCCTGATTCCCGCTCACCCACTTCCACTGCCTGTTACGCATTAGCACTGGGACGGTATACAGGGAATATAAGAACATAAGAATGTTGGATCAGGCCAGTGGCCCTTCCAGTCCAACACTCTGTGTCACACAGTGGCCAGAAATACCAGATGCCGTCAGGAGGTCGACCAGTGGGGCCAGGACATTAGAAGCCCTCCCACTGTTGACTCCCCCAAGCACCCAGAAGACAGAGCATCCCTTGCCCCAGACTGAGAGTTAAGAACATAAGAGACGCCAATGTTGGATCAGGCCAAAGGCCCATCCAGTCCAACACTCTGTGTCACACAGTGGCCAGAAATACCAGGTGTCATCAGGAGGTCCACCAGTGAGGCCAGGACACTAGAAGCCCTCCCACTGTTGACCCCCCACCCAAGCACCAAGAAGACAGAGCATCACTGGCCCCAGAGCCCCTATCTATACCTTGTGGCTAATAGCCACTGATGGACCTCTGCTCCATATGCTTATCTAATTCCCTCTTGAAGCCATCCAGGCTTGTAGCTGCCACCACCTCCTGTGGAAGTGAGTTCCACGTGTTAATAATGCACATAACAATAAGGGACATAATGCACAGCCCCTGTCATAAGAACGTAAGAGAGAAGCCAATGTTGGATCAGGTGCAACATCTGGTGCAGCACTCTGGGTCACACAGTGGCCAAAAATACCAGGTGCCATCAGGAGGTCCACCAGTGGGGCCAGGACATTAGAAGCCCTCCCACTGTTGACCCCCCCCCAGCACCAAGAAGACAGAGCATCACTTGCCCCAGAGTCCCTATCTATACCTTGTGGCTAATAGCCACTGATGGACCTCTGCTCCAGATGCTTATCTAATTCCCTCTTGAAGCCATCCAGGCTTGTAGCTGCCACCACCTCCTGTGGAAGTGAGTTCCACGTGTTAATAATGCACATAACAATAAGGGACATAATGCACAGCCCCTGTCATAAGAACGTAAGAGAGAAGCCAGTGTTGGATCAGGTGCAACATCTGGTGCAACACTCTGTCACACAGTGGCCAGAAATACCAGGTGCCAGGAGGTCCACCAGTGGGGCCAGGACATTAGAAGCACCAAGAAGACAGAGCATCCCTTGCCCCAGAGCCCCTATCTATACCTTGTGGCTCATAGCCACTGATGGACCTCTGCTCCAGATGCGGCCTCTAATGTGGCCCTTAATCAACTGATTACTTTTATTGCCATATGACAAAGGCTGTCTATTATGTCCTTGTCTACTCTCCCAGTGCTAATGAGTAATGGGCAGTGGAAATGGGAGAACAGAAGAGAACAGAAGAGAAGGCAGTGTTGGGTCAGGCCAGTGGCCCATCCAGTCCAACACTCTGTCACGCAGTGGCCAAAAGTACCAAGTGCCATCAGGAGGTCCATCAGTGGGGCCAGGACGCGAGAAGCCCTCCCACTGTTGCCGGGCCCCCCCAACCCGCTGTTTGCCCCTCCTCTCTTGCAGCCTTTGTAATTTTCTCCTGGAGAATCCAGATTATCCAAAGAAGGAGGGCAGAGTGGTTTTAAACCCCAACAGCAGCCTGCTCTCTAGTCAAGAGGAGACAAAGGTGAGTGGGGAGCTCTCGTGCGCGGGGTAGATTCCCCCCCCCCCAGTTCTGCCTCTGGCCTTGCCTTGTGCCATTCCGTCCCGCTGATCATTAAATCCGCAGCTCTCTCCCGGATGGATACTCCGGCTAGCCTCGTCAGGATGGTCGTCGAGGGGTCCCTCAGTCCTCCCTGAGAGCAAACTTAAATAAAGCGGCTCGAGTGTTGGGAATAGGGGACACTTGAGTTTGAATTTCCACTCAGCCACCAAAATTTGGGCGGTCCCCTATCTTTGATGCAGGGGTAAAAGTGGCGGCGGGGGGGGGGTGGACACGACGATGCCCATGCCTTTGAGCTCTGCTCCTTGGAGGAGCAGCAGGTGAACACGAGTCATGCGTTGTCGATACCCGCCGCCGACCCTGGCTCTCCCTTTTCCCTCCTGGAGATGTAAAATTTCCGGAAATGTTGAAGCTTGGGAAAAAACCCGTTTCCCCCCCAGTTTTTTTCAGGGAAAAATGGAAATTTTCGGAAAAATTGAAAAAAAATGCTACATTAGCATTTCTTTTGTCTTTTCTAGATTGAAAGCCATTCCGTTACTTTAGGAACATAAAATATAACTATGGACATTTTTACTTGGCATGAAATTATCACAACTAGCATATTAAAAAATGTAGTGTCTCCAAACAGAATACCCACCCACATGCAAAAACAAAACTGAAACCTTTTTCTATTTTCTTCTGACAATCGCGCCTCCTAAAGGAAGAAGTGCATCTTGTTCTTGCATTGGAGGGTTCAGTTTGTAACCTAGGACTTGCTTGTCCTCAGTGCACAAAAAATCAATCTGATACCATACATATATATATATTAGAAATGATTTGGAAAATATTTGAACGCCTGGTCTTAAAATATTTTATTCATCATGTTAAAATAAAACGTTCCATAATCTTTTTTTTTTTTCCTTTTCTTTTTCCAATTTTTCGGGAAAAAAACAAAAAGGGCTTCAGGAAAAAAACGGGGGAAACCCCGGGTTTTTTCTTCGATTTTCTCCGGGTTTTTTCCCGGGCCTTCACATCTCTATTCCCTCCCTCCCTTTAGGTGCCTAAAGTTGACTACTTTGACTTCGCCAAGCTGGCCCCGCTCGACCAGCGTTGCTTCATCCAAGCCGCCGACCTCCTCATGGCCGACTTCAAGATGCTGAGCAGCCAGGACATCAAGTGGGCGCTGCACGAACTGAAGGGACACTATGCAATCACACGCAAGGTCCTCCCCCTTTCCCGGTTCCCGTCCTTCCTGTCTTTCTAGCTCCCCTCCGTCTTCTTTCAGGGGCCTTTCTCTGTGCTTGAGAGAAGATGTATAGCCCTGAGTGTGCCCTGTAGCTCAGCAAGTCTGGTTGCTATTTGGATGGGGTGGGGGTGGGGGAGCCAGTTTGGTGTCGTGGTTAGGAGCGCGGACTCTAACCTGGGAGAACCGGGTTTGATTCCCTACTCCTCCGCATGCAGCCAGCTCGGGTGACCTTGGGTCAGTCACAAGTTCTCTCAAGGGCAGTTTCTCTCAGAGCTCTCTCAGCCCCACCGACCTCACAGGGTGTCTGTTGTGGGGAAGGGGGGAAGGGAAAGGAGTTTGTAAGCCACTCTGAGACAACTTTGGGTAGTGAAGGGCGGGGGTATAAATCCAATCTCCTCCTCCTCCTTCTTGAAAAAGAGCCGTTTCTGTCAAGAGCTCTCTCAGCCCCACCTACCTCACAGGGTGTCTGTTGTGGAGAGGGGAAGGGAAAGGTGATTGTAAGCCGCTCTGAGACTCCTTTGGGTATTGAAGGGTGGGGTATAAATCCAATCTCTTCTTTTTCTCCTCCTCTTCTTCTTCCTCCTCTACTTCCTCCTCCTCCTCCCTGGAGGAAAAGTGTGACACAAGTGTAAGTAGAATGCTCTTGTTTTATTACATTTATGTCACACTTTTCCTCCAAGGAGGACTTCTTCCCTTCGTCTGACAAAGATGTGAACGTGGGGGCTGTATACTTAGGGACTTATAAGCCGTGTTTCCTCTAAGCTGAGTTAGTGTGAGCTAGCTCACAGTTCTTTAGCCTCCAGCTCACACATTTTTGCCTTCGCTCAGCAAGGAGTGGCTCCAGAGCAAACTAATTTACACAGCAGCCAAATGGCTCGCTCACAGCTTTAATGCCCGTAGCTCACCAAGTAGAATTTTGGCTCACAAGACTCCACAGCTTAGAGGGAGCATTGGTTGTATGGAGCATTGTTTCGTGTTTTCAGATTGTATAAGAACTGGGCTGCCATTCTGCGTGAAATCGTTGAGCGTTGTATCCCACTTTGAGACGCAGGAGTGTTGTGTTTGTGACATCTAGTTGGGAGCCAATGTTCCCTCTAAGCTGTGGAGTCTTGTGAGCAAAAATTCTACTTTGTGAGCTCCTGGCATTAAAGCTGTGAGCGAGCCATTTGGCTGCTGTGTAAATCAGTTTGCTCTGGAGCCATCCCTTCCTGAGCGAAGACAGAAATGTGTGAGCCGGAGGCTAAAAAACTGTGAGCTAGCTCACACTAACTCAGCTTAGAGGGAACACTGGTTGGGACTTCCTATCTTGGCTGTTGCAAGTGACTCTAGGGACGTCCACTTGCTTCCGCCTGCCCATCTGCCGTTTCTCCGTTCTTTGCTTCTTTCAGGCCTTTTCCGACGCCATCAAAAAATGGCAGGAGTTGTCTCCCGAAGCCAGCGGGAAGCGAAAAAGGAGGAAAGAGATGAACCAGTATTCCTATATCGATTTTAAATTCGAGCAAGGTGAGTCAGCAGGAGAAGGACGTGCAGGACAGCAATGCGGGTCCTGTGAACTTTGACTGATCACGAGAGGAGGGAGGGTTGCCTCAGTGCTTAGTTCTCGCGCCGCCCTTTCTTGCACGCCCAGGGAAAGGCTGATCGCCACTTTGGGGTCAGGAGGCCATTTTTCTCCAGGCCAGTTTGGCTGGAGAACCCGGAGGTTTTTTTGCCACCTTCTGGGCATGGAACAGGGGGTCACTGGGGATGTGGGGTGGGGGAGGTAGTTGTGAATTTCCTGCAATTGCGCAGGGGGTTGGACTAGATGACCCTGGAGGTCCCTTCCAACTCTGCGATTCTGTGATTCTAGGTAGGACCATGGAACGTGGCTCTCTCCTCAGGGTTGCCACTTTCGGGAAAGCCAGGGAAATTGGGTCTGAAGTCAGGGAAATTGTGATTAAAATAGATTCAAGCAGTGGATTTTTGACCTGCCACTGCAAGACCTTGATCTGTCCTTGTGGCAACTGGAATAGAGAAGGAGCAGAACACAAGTAGAACTCAATGATGCCCTTTCCCAACCGTTTGAGATGGAACGTTCATATGATTTTTAGCGTACCTTTAAAACAATAGCAAAAATGTTACGCCATTTGTTAGCATTCAGAGTTTACTTGAATTGAAATTTGTATCTTGGTGTGATTTTTGGTGCAATGACAGAACAGATGTTGCTGCAGTTAACGTTGAAAGAAGCTGATATTCAATCTCTTTGACAGATATTTTTGCAGTTGAGGCTTGTGTAGCTGCAGAGTGGAACCTTTCCTTGCATTCATGCAGTACGACCAGTGTCCCCTCTAAGCTGAGGTTAGCGTGAGCTAGCTCAGTTTATTAGCCTCCGGCTCACACATTTTTGTCTTAGCTCAGGAAGGAGGGCTCCGGAGCAAACTGATTTACGCAGTAGCCAAATCGCTCGCTCACAGCTTGAATGCCAGTAGCTCACAAAGTAGAATTTTTGCTCACAAGACTCCACAGCTTAGAGGGAGCATTGGTTCTGACTCACCCATTTTTGTCTCCACTCAGGAAGGATGGCTCCAGAGCTTTTATGCCATAGGCAAATCCCTCACTCACCACTTTCATGCCAGGAGCTCACAAAGTAGAATTTTGGCTCACAAGACTCCACAGCTTAGAGGGAGCATTGACCTATTCGTTTTTTTAACTTGTGTGGTTATATTTGAATGGTGGTCAGGGAAATTGACAAAAGTTGGTCAGGGAAATGAAAAATAAAACTTTAGTGGCAACCCTGCTCCTCCCCCCCCCCGAAAACAGCTGCTGTGCCAAAATTCAAGCACTGTGGAACGGATAGGCCAATGGGGGGGATAGGAATGGATAGGTGGGGGAGGGAAGCAGAGCGAGCCGCAGGCCCAGAGAATGTAATGCATGGGTCCCCAGCCTTTTTGCGCCGGTAGGCACCTTTGGCATTCCGATGCAAAGTGGAGGGCACAACGACAAAATGGCCGCCATGTAGGGCTGCCAAGTGGGGGCGGGTGGTGGGTAAACCCCCGCTTTGGAGGCCCGATTTCCGACGCCGCGGAATCGGGCCCCGGGGGGGGAACCCCACCCCGACATGCATGTCACACCAGAGGTGACGCAACCACGTCGATCGCGTTGGGGACGTGGCCCGGATTGTCGGAGGGGATCAGACGATCCGGGCCATGCCCCCAACGTGGTCGACATCGCACGTGCGCATCCAAGGATGGCTCCCGGAGCCCAGCGAGGCTCCCCCGCCGGTGAGCTTTTTTGACTTGGCAACCCTACCGCCATGGTATTTGGAGCCAGCCACAAAATGGCCGCCACGAAAGGCGGAGCCACGCACAAAGGAAGCCCTAGGGCGGGGGGCAAGAGGAGTAATTTGCCTCCTGAATCGTATAATTTGTCTCTTGAAACAGGGAATAGCCCGGACCAGTGTTCCCTCTAAGCTGAGTTAGTGTGAGCTAGCTCACAGTTTTTTTAGCCTCCAGCTCACACATTTTTGTCTTAGCTCAGAGAGAATAGCTCCAGAGCAAACCAATTCATGCAGCAGCCAAATCGCTGGCTCACATCTTTCGTGCCAGTAGCTCACAAGGTAGAATTTTTACTCACGAGACTCCACAGCTTAAAGGGACCATTGGCCCGGACCCTTTCTCCCCCTCCCGAAGCTTTCGTTAGGGTAACCAAGGCAAGTCCCACGCCTGGTCTTTGAACGGCGTGGGCGACTCGAGTCGCAGAGCAGGTGAGAACGGGGAATCGGGAGCTTTCCCGCTGTTCCCCTCCTCACTCTGGCGTGTCTGTTTCCCTTCCCGGGTCGCGCTGCCGACGGCCCCCCCCTCCAGGTGACATGAAGATCGAAAAGCGCATGTTCTTCCTGGAGAACAAGAGGCGGCACTGGAGGAGCTACGACCAGCTCGCCCTCCTCCCAGCGGTGCAGTCGGAGCGGGAGTTTTACGAGCAGAAGGTGAAAGAAATGGCCGAGGTGAGTAGCGGGCCGTGCACAATGTCTGGGCGTTAATGGCCCCTGCCAGGGCTTTTTTTGTAGAAAAAGCCCAGCAGGAACTCATTAGCATAATAGGCCACACCAACACCACAAATTTGTTAGCATATTAGCCACACCCCTGACATCACAGCTCATTAGCATATTAGGCCACACCCCTATGTCACCACACCCACCTTTTGCTTCTCATTCTGTTTACTTTGTTTGTTGTCAAAACCCTGGGCTTTTTTTGTAGCAGGAACTCCTTTGCATGTTAGGCCACACACCCCCTAATGTAGCCAATCCTAATGAGTTTCTGCTGTTAGGTGTGGCCTATTATGCTAATGAGTTCCTGCTGGGCGTGGCCAACTCAGGAGCCAGCCGGAACTCCATTCCTGTGCGTTCCTACCCAAAATAGCCCTGGCCCCTTCAGTTCAGTGGCGCTCTTTATTGCCATCGGGACGGTGCCTAGGCGGCTCCGGGTCTTACCCAGTAGACTCACCTGCTGCCTGAGCGGTGCATAGATGTTTCCCAGGATAAATGTGCAAAGGATGCGTGAGTGAGCCCAGATTCACCTATCTGTGGTTTGCACCCGGCAGGTGCAATCGAATTGTGAGAAGAGCCCTGACGGATCAGAACTGTGGTCCATCAGGTCCAGCCTCCCGTTTCCCACCGTGGCCGACCCGTCGCCCTGGAGGGCCAATAAACAGTGCAATACAGGCCAAGGGCCCTGACCTGGACAACCCAGGCTGGCCCGATCTTGTCAGGGTTTGAAAGCTAAGCAGGGCCGGCCCCGGTTGGTACTTGGACGGGAGGCTGTCAGCTAAGCCGCCATGAGTAGGGAGAGACGTTCTAATTGTTATGCATTCCTTCCCATGCGCTTAATTGCTTCCCAGCTGCAACGCTTATCTGTAAAGAGGTACTGGAGGAGTGTGGTGTCTACCTTCCGTGGGATCGTTCTGGTTCCCAGCTTTGCTACCGTTAGAAACTCTTCCTGTCTCCCGTGCGCGGGAGCCCATCTAATAGGGTATTGCTAAAGGGGGGGGGGCGCATACGAATGCCCTGTATCCTATTATGCGCATGGGTAGCCCGCCATTCCTAACAGAATGTCAGGATCCACAGCAAAACAACGAAGTACACGCTTCCAGGAAGGTTTTACTTTTATTGAAAAGCTATAGATGCAGTAACACGAACACTGTTAGGAATGGCGTGTACTTCATTGTTTTGCTGTGGTGAGCCGAGGGTCTGATTCATTCGGAGGCAGCTTTGTGCGTGTTCATTTGAGGTTTCTCGTCGCCTCTGAAGCGTTCGTCTGTGTCTCTTTTCAGCACGCGGATTTCCTCCTTGCCCTGCAGATGAATGAGGAGCAATACCAAAAAGTAAGTGAACTTGTTTGCCCAGAGAGAAGTCGTTCCCACGGCACGCTGGTACCTCATTTTCAGGAAGTGGCGTTCCGATCTGGCACAAGCTGGCCCCATGCAGCCCCAGTGAGACCTGTGGAGCCCCTTCTGTGGCAAACCAGGCCCCGGCTCAGCACACCCAAGGCTGTCTTTCCTTCAGGCCACCCACATTTGATTCAGCTGCAAGGAACTGTCGATACTCCATGTTCTTATTTGGGTTTCCCCCTTTTTTGCAAGAATCACTGGATGCCAGTGAAATGTGATGTCTTGCGTCAAAGCTGCAATGCGCCAGTCTAACGGCGGCGGGTCTTAATCGCTGGCCGTTTTGGCCCATCCTATAGAGCAGTGGTGGCGAACCTATGGCACGGGTGCCAGAGGTGGCACTCAGAGTCCTCTCAGTGGGCACGTGTGCCATCGCCCCAGCCAGGCCCAGACCATCCTTAAAGTGTCGAATTCTCTGCCAAATCATTTTAAGTAAATGAAAGCATTTGGGATTGCTTTCCTTACTTTGTTTGGATCCTCTTAAGTTAATGTATGAGTTGTTTTTTCTAGAGTAAAACCTCAGCATTCAGGTTCAATTGCCGTGTTGGCACTTTGCGATCAATAAGTGGGTTTTGGGTCGCAGTTTGGGCACTCAGTCTCTCTAAAAGGTTCGCCATCACTGCTGTAGAGTCAAGGAGTCCAAGCAGCCTGTCACGGTAGCCGTGGGCCTCAGATTTATTTTTATTTATTTTGTTAGACTTCTATCCCGCCTTCCCCGCACTGTAGGCTCAGGGCGGGAACCAACATATATGTCTACAACAATGCAGATCTGCCGTTAAAACAATTCATAACTTACAATTAAGATCTGCCATCAAAGTGGACTCACAATAAAGCGCATTATAGCAACCCATTTGAAATCGGTAGGCTCACCGTTGACTAAAACAATAACGTGCCTCAGCGGATAATATTGTGGTCCCACCCGGCTTCTAGGGACTGCAGTCACTGGAGGGGGCCCCGGATCAAATGGATGCCCACCAATGTTCCCTCTAAGCTGTAGAGTCTTGTGAGCAAAAATTCTACTTTGTGAGCTACTGGCATTAAAGCTGTGAGCGGGCGATTTGGCTGCTGCGTAAATTAGCTTGCTCCGGAGCCATCCCTTCCTGAGCGAAGACAAAAATGTGTGAGCCGGAGGTTAAAAAATTGTGAGCTAGCTTGCACTAACTCAGCTGAGAGGGAACACTGATTGCCCACGGCCTAAAGGCCCGGTGGAAGAGCTCCGTCTCGCAGACCCTGCGGAACTGTAAAGGGTCCTGCAGTGCCTTGATCTCATACGGTAGCTCATTCCACCAGGCAGGGACCAGGACCGAAAAAGCTTGCTGGTAAATGAAAGACTTCAGCCTGAGGCCCTGGAGAGCTGCTACCAATCTGAGTGGACGATACTGACCTTGATAGACTAATGGTCTGATTCAGTATGAGACAGGTTCATGTGTGATTTGCTGTTAGGTTAAGGGTAAAGGTAAAGGTTCCCTTGCTCGAAAGCCAGTCGAGTCCGACTCTAGGGTTGCGGTGCTCATCCCCGTTTCCAAGCCGAAGAGCCAGCGCTGTCCGAAGACGTTTCCGCGGTCATGTGGCCGGCATGACTCAACACCAAGGCGCACGGAACGCTGTTCCCTTCACACCGAAGCGGTACCTATTTATCTCCTTGCAATGTCTTGCTTTCGAACTGCTCGGTTGGCAGGTTAGGGTCTTTGCAAAAGCTTGGCTACCGATCCATTTGGGAGCATTTGCTGTGTCCAGCAGATCGAGCGGGCATCGGGGCTGGTCCCGCACGGCTCGGAGATGCGCAAATGATTTAATCAAGCAGGTGGGCCGAGAGAGTGTGGATCTCTCCCGCACTTCCGGTCGCACACGCTTTGCCTCGCCACGGCGTCCCTGACGCAGCCTCCCTACCCATGGCGTCCCACAGCAGGAACGAGGCCGCGAGCATGCCGGGAGATTCCGTTGTGGCTTCTTTCCAGAGCGGGGATTAATCTCTGGGGGGGGGGGACTTTGGTTCGGCAGGACGGCCAGATGATCGAGTGCCGCTGTTGCTACGGGGAGTTTGCGTTTGAGGAGCTGACGCAGTGCACCGACGGCCACTTGTTCTGCAAGGAATGCCTGATCAAGTACGCTCAGGAGGCGGTGTTTGGCTCCGGAAAGGTGAGGAGGCCCTCGGGGGAATGGGGAGGGAAAGGAACGAACACATTATGATGAAAGAAGTGAGCCGTGACTCACGAAAGCTCCGCCCCTGCCATAGATTTCGTTAGTCTTTACGGTGCCGCTGGACCTTTTCTCTACCGCTGCAGACAGACTCACAGGGCGACCCGTCTTGATCTAAAGACTTTAGGGCAGCTTTGCAAATTACTATGTACGGTACAAAACCGGCACAGTTCTACGAGGATCTGGAAGGCCCAAGTTCAGATCTCCTCTTTGCCGTTGAAGGTCGTCGGTTGAACTTAGGTCTGAGAGAGGGTGACTTGCCTGGCCAACTTCTCAGGGTCATTGTGAGGATGAAACGGAGGAAGGGACGGCGGTTTCTTAAGCTGCTTTAGGTCCCCATCGGGGAGAAAAGCAGGGTGCGGATATCTGGATCAGCGGTCCCCGACTCTTGATAGGATGACCCGTGAGCAATGCTCCCTCCGAGCTGTGGAGTCTCGTGAGCCAAAATTCTACTTTGTGAGCTGCTGGCATGAAAGTTGTGTGCGAGCGATTGGGCGACTGCATCAATCAGTTTGCGCCGGAGCCATCCCTTCCTGAGCTACGGCAAAAATGTCTGAGCCGGAGGCTAAAAAACTGTGAGCTAGCTCACAGCTTAGAGGGAACACTGCCCGTAAGTCCAAAGATGCTTCCTATGGTGACCCATCCAGAGGGTTTGGGAGCCCTCAGCAAACTATGACCTTTGGCACACATCTGGTTCAGCATTCCATTATGTTACAGCGGTGTCATGATCCTTGGCCTACAGTAGGCCTGTTACCAGGGCCGGGGCGTTTTCGGTGACGGCTCCTACCTGGTGGAATGAGCTCCCGGAGGAGATCCGGGCCCTGCGGGACCTGGCGCAGTTCCGCAGGGCCTGCAAGACGGAGCTCTTCCGCCAGGCTTTTGAGTAGGAGCCGCCACCATCACTATACCATCACCGTACCACCACCACTCAATGGAGTGGGTGTCATCGGGGAACAAGACGACCCTGGGAGGAAGGACGGATTGCTGTATCACTTGGAGTCTATTGTGTCACTTTGGGGCCACTCTTTATGTGTGACCCCATCGGTTATTTATGACATCTGGAGCACTTGTATTTTTACATGAATGATTGTTTTATTGTTGTTTTATCCTGCTTTTATCTGCTTAGCTTGGCACATGTGCCTCATAAGCTGCGTTCGTGTGAGCCAGCTCACTGTTTTTTAGCCTCCGGCTCACACATTTTTGTCCTCGCTCAGGAAGGAGGGCCCCATTGCAGGAGTGGCCAAACTCGCTTAACATAAGAGCCACCTAGAATAAACGTCAGACGTTTGAGAGCCGCAAGACATGAACAAATATTGCGTGTTTTGATTGGGAAATATGCAGATCTGCTTTTATTAATATTAAATCGATAACCTGAGATGGGGAGGGAGGGGAGAAGGGGAGAGAGAAAGAAAGGTGGAAAGAAATAAAGGTGGAAAGAGAGACAATAGATGGGGAGAAAGAGAGAGAGAAAGAAAGGTGAAATGAAATAAAGGTGGAAAGAGAGAAAATAGATGGGGAGAAAGAGAGAGAGAAAGAAAGGTGGAAAGAAAGAAAGGTGGAAAGAGAGCAAATAGAGGGGGGAGGGAGGGAGGGAGAGGTGGAAAGTAATCAGCTTTAACATTAAATGTGTCCTCCAAGCCCCGCCCCACCCCCCACCCCGCCGGCTAGCTTGGCTTGGAGAAGGGATTTAAAGGGACAAACCCCTGCTCCAAGCTGGCTGACGGGGATAGGGGGGCTTTGAGAATGCATTTAAAGTCCGAGTTGCTTTCTTTCTCTGCACTGGCTGCCCTTTGCTTCCCCAGCCACTGTAGCAGGAGCCGCACAATATGTGTGAAAGAGCCGCATGTGGCTCCGGAGCCACAGTCTGGCCACCCCTGCTCCAGAGCAAACTAATTTATGCAGCAGCCACATCGCTCGCTCACAACTCTTAACGTCGGTAGCTCACCAAAGTAGAATTGCTGCTCACAAGAACTCCACAGCTTAGAGGGAGCATTGGTCTCGACCCACAGGTCGGGAAACACCGATCTAGATAATGCACAGGTGAGCGTGAACCGACTGATGCTTGACTTCCTGTGATCTCTGCTTTCCCCCCCCCGCCCCTCCCTCTGCACACAGTCGGAGCTCAGCTGCATGGAAGGGAGCTGCACGTGCTCGTTTCCGACCAGCGAGTTAGAGAAGGTCCTCCCGGAGAACATCCTCCGCAAATACTATGAGCGGAAGGCGGAGGAAGAAGTGGCGGCCGCCTGCGCGGATGAGCTGGTCAGGTAAGGGGCAGCGGTTGGGCCGGGATCGGGTCCCCAGTCCCCCAGGGTCGCCGCGCATGTGGCCCGCTTCCGGCCGCCTCTGTAGCCAGTCCTGGTGTGCACGCCACTGCAAGACCAAATTCATCGCGTTCATAAGTTATCATAAAATGCTTTTTTAAAGCGTGATCCTTAAAAAAATAATAATGCAGTGTTGTGATTCTTGAACAGATGCTTAGTTTTCCTGCCGTTTCTGCTTTATTCTGGTTCCCCTTTTCTTTCTCCCTTTTCATTTCCCACCCGTCTGTTTTGGGGGGAGCTAGGGAGAGTTAAGTGGTTGCAGCAACGGCTGCTAATTACTTGTGTAGAAATAAGTCACTGAGAGCGCACACAGTGCTGGAGGCCCCAGGAAAACGAAATACACCGAAAAAGCAATTTCTAGCAATCATCTATAAAGACCTTTGCAAGCTTATTGGTCTGATAGTTATTTTAAAGTTAAATACAGTGTCACTAGAAGGAGACTTTGTAAAGTGAGACTTTGAACATATGTGTACAACACATCTTCTAGAATAAATCTTGAACATATATGTGTACCATGTCAAAGGACAAAAGACAAGCCGCAACAAGATGCAAGCCAACAAACCAAAAACCACTGTGATAAAATTAACAATGACACATTTAATAATTCTGTGAGCATCAATTTGTGAAGCTATTAATCTGACAATATAGTTAGAGAATTCCGACATAAGCAAAGCAGAGTCCAACGTAATCATATCCTCAATGAGTGCACCGGTTTTTGTACTCATTTCACCAATCTTCCTCATGAGTAGTCTTACAAAGTTGGAAGGTGTCAACCTCTAGCTGTTCTAGCTGTTTTCCAGCACGGGGAACATTGTCAGTTATTATAAAAAGAAGGTTTTCTGCCAGATAGATAAGAAAAGCTGAAATGCTACTCCCTAATCGAGAGTTACTAGCCAACAATGTGAAACGGAGAGCAAATGCCAGCCAATTTAAAGTAGGCCTGTTGCCACATAAAAATTTTGGACTGGCTGCTACGACTAGAAATTGGCTTGCTCCTATTCAGGTACTTGTGTATATATATTCACCATTATATATATAAAATTTCTATGCAGCTTCATCACCCAATAGACACCCTGTGAGGTGGGTGGGGCTGAGAGAGCACTGACAGAAACTGCTGTTTTTTCAAGGACAGCTCTTATCAGAACTACAGCTTGCCCAAGGTCATCCAGCCAGGTGCAAGTGGAGGAGTGGGGAATCAAACCCGGTTCTCTCCCAGATTAGAGTCCGCGCACTTAACCACGACACCAAACTGGCAGATCCCTGTGCCGTGGGGGCAGCTGCTGCCGAAGCAACATTTAAAAAAAATTGCACAGCCAATCAGAAGCTTTGCTGGGCAGGCCCCAGCCACTTCCTAAAAACCCTTGGCGGGTGCCAGGAAAAGTATCAGCGGGCACCTTGGTGCCCATACGCACCACGTTGGGCACCTTTATGTTGGAATAATACGTGAGTTCTCCCCACCCCTTAGCATCCTTAGCTTGCAGAACGGGGCGTTTCCTCAGGGCCTGTGGCCATAGGCTTGCTTTCGGAGCCAGGGGGCTAGAAACAGAAGATCGGGAGGGCGAGGGGCGTCGCCGACAAACCCCGCCAGACGGTTTGAGCCGGCACCTGATACGCGACCCGCTGATCTCCGCTCCACCTTGCTCCCCAGGTGCCCCTACTGCAACTTCCCAGCCCTGCTGGACAAGTTTGGTTCAGCTGCCCCAACCCTCGCTGCAGAAAGGTAAGCGGGACGGGGGGCGTCAGAGCCGTAGGTGGCGCGACTGCAGCATCGAATGGGCAGTCTGGTCTCTGCTGCCGTTTAGGACACTAGTTTGACGAGCGGGCACCAGATTTTGAAAAAGGGGACCTTTGCCCATAGCGGACGTTTATCCAGTCAGCGAGTCTGTGTATTTTTCTGGGTGGAAATTGGGAGGGGAGGGTGCCCCTGTAAGGTTTTGCAGACAAATAGCCACTAGGTGGCACCGTAGGCTCATCCACAGTCAGAACCACTTCTTGTTTAAAAGTGAACCACATTTGGTTTGAACTAGCTCTGTGTGCATGTCTCTCTCTCTCTCTCTCTCTCTCACACACACACACACACACACACGAGAGAGAGAGAGAGAGAGAGAGAGAGAGTGTGTGTGTGTGTGTGTGTGTGTGTGTAATGGGTTCAGGCTTATCTGGAGGTATTTTCATAAAGCCCCAGCTAGGCAGCTGAGAAGCACCATATCATTCGGTGGCAGATGGTGGGAAAATGTTAAGCTTAGTACAAAAGCCGCAAACGGTTGTACATGCTCAACGGCAGACGGGTGATGCTTAATGTAACTTCCAGGTTAGACTACTGTAATACATTTTGTATGGGGCCGCCCTCGAAGGTGACTTGGCAACTGCAGCCGGTCCAGAATTCAGCAGCGCGCCTCTTGTTTGGGGGCAGGCATTTTCTGCCTGCAGTGTCGCATTCATTTCTGGGCGCAATTCAGTTTTAACCTTTCAAATCCCTCCACGCCCTGGAACCCACGTACTTGAAGGACAGCTTCTCCGGATACGGGCCCCCCGCGCCAGTGGGAGGTCAGCACATGGTCATCTTTTGGTGATCACAGCTTTCCCATTGGCTGCCCCCATGGGTTGGTCTGTCGGATTTCCCCATGGGTTCGTGCTGTGCCAAAAGAGCTTTATTCTTGCATGCGTTTGGCAAACCGGAAGGGGTGGGTGTCGTTGGACCAGGTTCACTTGGGCATGTGGAGATGGTCTTTTGTCGTGGAGTTGGAAGTTCCTGTGTTGCAAAATCATGGTACATATTTCTACGGTCATATATTGGTTCCTAAGTGGTCTCTATTTGAAGCTTTGTTCATAATTATCTTGGGGTTTTTTTGAGGATGGTAATTTTAAAAATTGTTTACCTTGTATTTTGCAGGGGGGGTTATGTGGCTCTTGTGACCAAAGAAACAGGGCTAAATGCTTAATAAGTCTGAACAGCAGCTGCATGTGGAGGAGTTGGGAAGGAGGAGGAGGAGGAGATTGGATTTATACCCCACCCTTCACTTGGAGTCTCAGAGCGGCTTACAATCTCCATTCCCTTCCCCTCCCCCACAATAGACACCGGGTGAGGTCGGTGGGGCTGAGAGTGCTCCTTCGAGAACTGCTCTTTCCAGAACAGCTCTGAGAGAACTTGTAACTGACCCAGAGTCACACCACCAGCTGCATATGTGGAGGAGTGGGGGAGAAGGAGGAGGAGATTGGTTTTATACCCTGCCCTTCACTCAGAGTCTCAGAGCGGCTTACAATCTCCTTTTCCTTCCCGTCCCCACCACAGACACCCTGTGAGCAATGTTCCTTCTAAGCTGTGGAGTCTTGTGACCACAAATCTGACCCAATTTTCCCAGACTAGAGTCCGTGCTCTTAACCACTATACCAAACCGGCTCTAGAGTTGGATTTATACCCCCACCCTTCTCTACCCGAAGGAGTCTCAGAGTGGTTTACAGTCTCTCCTTTCCCTTCCCCTCCCCTCCCCACAACAGACACCCTGTGAGGTAGGTGGGGCTGAGAGCAGCTCTGAGAGAACTTGTGACTGACCCAAGGTCACACCAGCAGCTGCATGTGGAGGTGCGGGGAATCAAACCTGGTTCTCCCAGATTAGAGTCCGCGCACTTTAACCACTACACCAAACGGGCATGAGTTGCAGCCTCTCAACGCCCGCCTCGTAAATTTCAGAAATGGGGAGCTAGAATAAACAGTCCTTGCTTCTAAGGCGATTGTTCTTTCCTCCCTTCGAAATCTGCCTCTCTCCTTCACCCATTAATGTGATTACAGGCGCTTTTTTT